TCAAAGCAATCTGCCCCCCCCCCCGAGTGCCCGCATACACACACACACACACACACACACACACACGCAGTATATATAATTTTTTATTTTTTCCGGAATTTTCAGGAAAGTCCACTTTCATCTCTGGGGGTCACCAACGTGGTGCCCGCGAGCACCAGGTAGCCTGTGAGGACCACACCAATAGCCCGCCAGTGCTCGGATTGTGATTTGCTAGTAGAAATTATGATTTAAATGCAAACACTGGCAGTATTGTGAGACATATTTAAGATGATCAGAGCCTGAAAATTTAAATAAATCATTAAGTATTAAAAATTACACATTCTAATATTATTAAATGTAATTTGTACCGATGTTATTTTAGATGTGTATCAATTTGGTAGCCCTTCACACAATCAGTACACATGAAGTAGCTCTCACTCTCAAAAAGGTTGGTGACCCCTGATCTAGATAGTAATATTATTAGGTGTTTGAAGTTCTCTGAAGAACAGTAAACCGGAAAGGCCTAGCTTTGTGCATGCACCAAACAAAAATGAAAACAGAAAATGCTTGCCTTGCTCTGTTGCTGGTACTATTGTGTATGGAAGAGTTACCGGCCTTTAGTCTTAGGAATTGTAATTGTGCGGAAGGTATATTACAAAATCACAGATGGGCCTGTCTGCTATTTCGTAAATTAAGACGCCAAAAATTTCAAACGGATGCGGTATCAAATCATATGATATGAAATGAAGACACATAGCAATATGGCGATACCCGCAAAGCTGTGTGATTCACGGAGTGTAGTGAAAATTATGTTATGTGTAAATTTGTAATTCCATCATATTACTTATGATTATTTTCTCTAAAAGATTGCGATTTAATCTCTTTTTTTGTCTACCAGTAGTCATAATTTGTAGCCTGCTATTAATGAACAAATATGCAATTAAACAACCACAAATTGGACACATCACATTTTTTCACTTGGGCCCGGTGGGGGAAGTCTGGCCTTCGGTGAGAATGTAATTACGGGTAGTTACACAGTACATGGGCATGGAGTTTTGTACTATGCATCGAAATGATGGGAAGCTTTTGTGGACTGTGCCATCACAGCCCTGTTGTTCATTATTGTTCACGCTGTTACTTCATTCACAGTGCAAGCGTCAATCCAGAACCAAAAGTAAAAGACGGATGGGATTCTCAAGCAGAAGATCAAAGCTCAGGAGACGAGAAGAAGAAGGGATTTAAGGACTTCCTAAAGCAGCTGCCTCGGCGCAATACTGTGCGCACTTCTGCAAAAGATGGGAAAGGTTCTTTTGAAAAGGACAGCAAGCCCAGACCACCAAACATCAAAGAGCTGTCAGAGGTAAGCAAATTATCTCAAGCCTCAAAACGTCAGTTGATGTGCAAACAAAATGCAGCAAAAAAAAAATCTGCTCTTTGGGTTTCTCCTATGTGGGATTGCATTGAGTTACAGTACACGTTTGGGGCATTACAGTAGTTCGGAATGGGGCTGACTGATTTTGAAAAAGTTATTTAACATTTCCCCTCCCCCACAATATTTTTAATATAATATATAATAAATATTTCCTTCATGATTATTTTTAAACATCCTCTTCCCATGTAGTTTTGAACAAGCACAAGCAATAAATAAATGTGCATTACAATAAACAATATCACATTCATAATACATGTTTTGTCAGAAAATGGATGGATGGATGTTACATACATATTTTGGTTTAATAGGTTAGATTTATGCTAAAAGGCAGATGAGCTATGCAATACTGTGAAAGACAGCTTATCATTCTATTTCAGTCAATTATTAATTTACTAAAAAGTTGCATTCTTTTAAGCATTCATGTCGACAAGTTTACAAAATTCTACCAAACAAGTTTGGCATAAACAAAAGACATGAAGTCATAAAATGACAACCAGATTGAAAACAAATCTGTGACTTTGTCACTTCATCTTTTGAGGAAGCAATAATCTGTGTGTACATGGGTAAATATGTATTAAAATGTACTTTTTAACGTTTGAATTTATACACACACTATATAACCATAGAGGTTATATAGTGTGTGTGTGTGTGTGTGTGTGTGTGTGTATATATATATATATATATATATATATATATATATATATAAAATTTATATAAAGCTGTATTGTATATTTAAATAAAAAAGAAAAATCATTTACTGGTCCACCAAAATCAAGCTGAGTTGTTTATTGTTGTTGTTGTTTTCGTATTTCGGATTTGGCAGTTTAAAAACTTGAATCTACTACAGTCCAATGTCGATTTAATTTGCCCTAATTCGGAACCAAACACACTTTTACAATTGATCTAATGTTTGGAATAAATAAAAAATCAAATAATGTATATCCTCCTGACTACCAGGAAAAAAATGTTGTCCAATCACATTTATTTTGACATTCCCCAATCTATGTGAAGTAATTGGACTCCTCCAAAAGAAATTTTTGAAATCCCACTACATTTTTTAAACAGGCTCAAATACACTTAAAACAACTCAAACAACACTTTAATGTGTTCATAAGAGTCTTATAATTAAAATGGCAACAGCATTTCAAGACAAAATGTGGTCGATAAAAAGTATTACTTTTCCTCTTCCCATAAAAAGTGCTTGCACCTAACCCCTACAAATTTGGTATCATTGGAAAGCACTGAATGTCCTCTTTAGAGTAACAAAAGGAGTTAATGCGATTGGAGGCACTGGGTGGGAGATATTTAGGTTCACAAATGTCCTCTACAGAGGACAAATTTGAACTACTGGTAGTCAGGAGGATATCTACAATTCAATAACACCTTATCATACAATGTGTTTCAAATTATGTATCCAGGATTTAAGTTCAATAAACACTTACGTTTTTGTTTCCATGGGGAGGTGTGGTCAAATCTTATTTTGTTGTCTTGTTAGATGACTGATACAAATCTCAGACAGGTCTGATAACTGGTTTTCTTACGTGAGTCTAATTGAAGTAAAATTGTCCAGGGTGTGCCACATTATAAAGTATCTTTATTATGCCTGGGGGAAAAAAAGGAAATGGCAATCCATCCATCCATCTATCCATTTTCTAATCTTCTTATCCTCACGAGGGTCGCGGGCGTGCTGGAGCCTATCCCAGCTGTCTTCGGGCAGTAGGCGGGGGACACCCTGAACCGGTTGCCAGCCAATCGCAGGGCACACAGAGACGAACAAACATCCGCGCTCACAATCACATTTAGGGACAATTTGGAGTGTTCCATTTGCCTGCTGTGCATGTTTTTGGAATGTGGGAGGAAACCGGAGTACCTGGAGAAAACCCACGCAGGCACGGGGAGAACATGGAAACTCCACACAGCAAGGCCGGAGCCTGAATCGAACCATGCACCACTGCACTGTGAGGCATACATGCTAGCCAGTAAACCAAGAAAATGGCAATTTACACTGCATAAAAATTCCATGAAACTTTAACTGCCACGGGGGAAAAAAAGTAGTTATGATGCGGCCACCATCATCCCCTTACCCAAACCTTATTGAGAAGCTACGGAAGGCAGTGAGAGTTTCCATCCATCCAGTATCTGAACTGCTTTATCCTCACAAGGGTCGCGGCGTGCTGGAGCCTATCCCAGCCATCTTCGGGTAGCAGGCAGGGTAAACCCTGAACTGGTTGCCAGCCAATCGCAGGGCAGACAGAGACAAACAACCATTCACACTTACAATCTAACCTATACTTCAATTGTCATGTCAAAGAATATAATTCATTTGTTGTTGTTGTCTGAGAAAACTTTGAAATAAGTGTTAAATTTCATCTAATTTCCCTAAGGGAATGTGGGGGCTATAATGAAAACAAAATATTGTGATCATTGTGCTCATTCTCATGAAATGTATCCATCAGCATTTTTGCACCCTAAATGTTGACCAAAAAACCTTTTCGCGCAGGAAGATCTTTTGTCTCCTTCCTCGACATCTGAAGAGGATGACAGTGATAGGAAACAGAGCAAGAAATTGAACAAAAAGAAGATCAAAAAGAGCATTTCGAAAATTTTCAAGATTAAGAATAAGGAAAAGGAAAGTGGGGAGAAGAAGAAAGAGGAACCTGGATCTCAACCTCAGAGGCCTTCCACATTGCCATTTGACAAAACCACTGAGCCAGAACCAAGCCTTGTTTCCCCAAGTAAGCTTCTCAATTACAAACCGGAATTAAACAAACCAGCTTTGTGAACCACAATAATATGAAGAGGTTGGCACCACTGCAATGTGGTACCAACCTCCTGCCTTTCGAGTTGTTGCTATCTACAGTCCGATCTTGTAATATATTTAAAAAAAAACATTTTCACTTTTATTTTGTCAGCATTTTCTTGCCCAAGGTTTCGGTCAAACACACTTTAGCTCCAGGTTCAATTGAAAAAGGCACAAATGCGCTTCAGCCATATTTAAATACGATGAACAGTTGCATTAGCAAGTTGAACTCCTCCAGTTCCACCGGGGTGTCTGTAAAATGACATGTCGCAGGGTTGACACGAGCGTAACCCTTGTGTTGTTGTTTCCCGGCATGTAGATCACCCTCCTGCGTTCTATCATGAAGTGGCAGAGAAGTTGGAAAAAATTGCCCAGAGGTCTGCCAGTACAAAGAGGCCGGGCCCCACTCCACTGCAGGCTCCCTCAGGTAATACACCTGTACACTCATATACATACAAACCCCACAAGGAAATACCCAACTCATTACAATCAAGTGGAAAGTCAAAACCTGTTCCTCAGGCTTGCCCCACATTCTACCCCACCACTATGTAAACTACATTTATTGCGCTCGTCACCTTATTGCTTCTGGTTACTTACTTGTTAACCATGCCTGTGTCAGATACATCTTATAGACATCACACATACTTCCGGGTGTTGCAAAAACTTGACCTTAGATGTCATTTGACAAAGGCAGAGCAATTGATAAAGCAGGCTAAATATCTTGAGTGTGTATTTTAATCTTTGGCCGTAATTTGAATGTGTGATGTATTAGTTGAGAAGATGATGTGAGGCAAAGTGCAAGGAAGAACAGGACAGCGCGTGCAAATTACAATCCACGTGGACAAAATCTTTGATACCTCTCTGTTAATGAAATAAAAAGCCACAGAAATATCTTGGCTTTGACAAAAGTTATAAATACTAAATAAAAATTGAAGGAAAATTAACTAGGCAGTATGGTGGATCGCTGGCTCGCACATCGGCCTTACAGTGCAGAGGACATGGGTTTGAAAAAAAACCCAAATCAGCATAAATTGTATTTTTTACATTTTAGTGTATTGGAAATTGAGTTCATGATATTTGAATTTCTTGATTTTATTACATTGTACAGTGATAATTTTACAGTATAAACCCAGTGAGTCCCAGGGACTCGCTGATCAGAAAAGCATTGAGTCCCATTATGCATTTAGAGTCCCAAATTTCAAATTCTGAAATGGTCTACTTATTCAATTGCAGATGATAATAACACAAACAACAACAATATACATTGATAATAGGTTTATTTCTTATAAACAAATGCTGCAAAAATTTAATTAATTCAGGCATATAAGATTTGCCGAGAAATAGGTTCTTATTTCATCCCATGGTTCAGTCTTTGAGTTCATAAATTCTCCTCTCTTTACTCTGCTTCCAATGATGCAAGGCTTTCTCAAAGTCAACTTATTATCGCAAAAAACTATCCAACTTTAGCTGCTTCCTCTGTGATATCTCTGCAATAAAGTTTTGCACGACTTGTTTTAATGTTCCACAACTTGGCAATCGTCTGCTTTCCGCGAAGATGAATGCCGATGTCGCCAATCTCGTCTCGCGAGAACGGAAATCTCGTCACGCGAGATGACTTAACCCGAGATCAAAACAACAATGGCAGCGATTGTCGAACTGCGACACTGAGTTGTTGGAAAAAAGTATGTACCGGAGGTTTTTTTCACTCACACACCACACCACAAACACACATAGAGGCACAGTGAAATCGCGTTGATCACACAGTCAAGTCGTGTGCAGTGACTTTAATGGTTAAACTATTTTTCGGTACCGTTAAAATGACGCCACGGAAACGACACGCTACTGATAACTATTGTTACCGTGAAATCCTCAGGCTTGCCGTCGTTTTTTTTATTTTTTTATTTTTTGTATGTTTTGACTGAGAAATTTTCTTGCGTCCCAAAAACGCACATTATTTGGAACTGTGTGTCCCGCGGGAAAAAGTATGCGTCTAGGACGCGGGACGCAGAGGTAACGAGATGACTGATTGTATTTATCAGTGTCGTATAGTTCAATAAGCCAGTCAAAAAATGTTTGCACGTGAACAAAAAAATTCAATTTTGATTTGAATTTCAGACAAATACATTCCCATTAAATCTTTTGTTACAGACAATAAGGCAGGGGTGTCAAACATACGGCCCGCGGGCCGGAACCGCCCCCCCCCCCCCAACGAGGTTTGATGAGGCCCGCAGGATAATTTAAGAGTGGAAAAAAATGCATAAAAGAGACGCAACGAGCATTTTTAATGAGCTGCGATTCATGGATTATCAGTTAGGGGGAACACTGTTTTGATCAGAGTAGAAGACAACATTGTTTTTATCAGAGAAGACAACCGCAATCTCAGTCTGTCACTGAGACAGACCCAACACAGCATTAAAGCCAGCTACCTAATCGCTAGCAAAATAGCATTAGCATCAAAGACGTATTCCGACGCTGACTTTGTTAAACGATGCATGATGAAGCTGGCTGAACTTGTATATCCTGAGAAGCGACAAGCTTTTGCCAATATTAGCCTGACGAGGAATACTATAGCAGAGAGGATTTTGTACCTATCAGCAGCAATTGGATAGCCAATTGAAACAAAGAGTCAAGTCATTTTATCAATGTAAAAGATATGTTCATTAAATTTAAAGATTCATTTTAATTGTCCGGCCCACTTGACATCTACCGAGGCAGTATGTGGCCCACAATGTGAAATGAGTTTGACACCCCTGCTATAAGAGGTTCGGAGAATGGATGGATGGATGGATGAATGGATGGATGGATGGATGGATTGATGGATGGATAAAAAAAAAACGTTAGTTATTCTTTGTTGGAAGTGGTCAACATTTCTTTATTTTTTGTTCATTTTCTTTAACATTCGTAAGTATACAGTGTTGAATAAGTGTACATAAAACAATTTTTTCGACAAACAATCTTATTTAAAGTCGCGGTGGAGAGTTGGAGGGGCGCAAAAGGTTTTTGTTTTCCTCGGAGAGTCATAACAGAAAATAATTGAGTAGCACTGCTGTAGGGGCATGTTGAACCAAGATGTGTCCTTTAACACAGGGGTCCCCAACCGGTTTTAATGTCAGACAATGTTTTCAGGGACTGGCCTGATAAATACAACAAATAATATGATGTAACCGGCATGAAAACTGTGGTATTTTTGAAACCTAATAATAAACACGAATCACGACACGAGGAATGTCCTATCTGGCCGCAACACTCTCTGGTCGCTATGGTAATGTTTACACGTGCCTTCAAAATAAAATAGATCGCAAATACAAAGTGCATGGAAAATACGATTCACCATTGCCGTATATTATGCAGATTGGGCTTGGTGTGTGGGACTCTCCCATTGTGATAAATCCATATTTTAAGTAGGACTCCTGACACTGTCTATTAAATGTAGCCTTCTTTTTCTAGAAAGTCATAGGCTCCTCCTCTGTCTCGTGGCTGGGCCTTTCCCCCTTCCCAAAGAAACTTTCCAAAGACCTTTGTTTTTTACTCATTTTGCTAGCGCCTGGGTTTCATTTTAGCGGTAACCTATCACATGACTGAGAAGCGCGCCTTCACCTGCATCAAGAGTGACATATTGTAGACTGATTTAACAGAGGATCCGGTAATTTTTCAAAATAAAACATTTTTCAGATTCCGAAATGAGTAAAACGGAAGTAATGTAAGTTTTGTACTCTTTCTGTGCGGCCCGGTACCAAATTACCCGCAGACCGGTACCGGTCCGCGGCCTGGGGGTTGGGGACCTCTGCTTTAACTAGCACCACAGTGTCTTCAAACTTGTAATCAGTCAGTCGGCCTATTAGAAGGCTGACAAGTAGTCACTGTGCTGTTTGGTTACATATTCTGTGCTACACTTAACACGGACCGGAGGAAGCAAAGGACAGCGCCGTCTCAGGAGATTGCAAAGAAAACAATGAGAAAGATTATGAAGAGGTCTATAACTCCCTCAGAAAAGCTGCATTGTTGAGTGACAAATCTGAATGTGGACCTTTTACTCTGTCCTGTACTTGTGTTGATTGTGTGGTACATTAGCAGTATATGGATAATTTTGGATTGGCTCTGTACATGGCTGTCTGATGACAAAAGAATTCCCTTTTTCCTAAAGTTATGGATGACAAAGAGCAAGTGGTGCAGCAGCTTGTTCAAGTGCTGTCTGCTGAGGCAGATTCTATCAACAATAAGGTAGGTAAAACTTGTAATGTAATAATGTGATGTTCATTTTAGGACCAATAAAACTTCATGTTTTGTAATTCTACACCACATAATTCACCATTCATTTGCTATCAGGGCATGTGTTTCTCATGTGATTCGGGCCTCCATCTCTTCTCATCATTCTGACCTGTTCAAATGTGTTCTGCAAGGATTTCCTTCGGGATCAACGAATTGTTTCTCTGGTCTTGCACAGATCGAAATGGACCCATTTCTACGCTCCAGTTTGTCTCGCCTATCATACACGTCTTATGTCAGGCTTCTCGACACTGTCAGCAGCACTCAGGTATCGCAAGTACCGCTCCTCCTGCCGACTGCGAGCCCAACATTACGCCGCATGGCTGTCACCATGGAGGTGTCGAGGCGGATAGTGACAGCGACTGGTGTGCATCGCATGCAAGGGTACGCAGAGTGCTACATGGAGACGTTTGCCCCCTGGTTAAAGAGCCAAGGGGGATGGGTGAGTGATTGTTCCCTGTATTCTGATATATTCCATTTAAAAGCCAGTACAGTAAATCCCAGAGGGATGGGGGCCGAGCTCTCTAGCACAGGGGTCCCCAACCGCCGGTCCGCGGACCGGTACCCGTCCGCCGGGCATTTGGTACCAGGCCGCACAGAAAGAACTTGCCTTAATTCCGTTTTATTTATTTCGGAATACGAAAGATGTTTTATTTTGAAAAACTACCGGATTCTCCGTTAAATCCGTCTGTGTTACGCTTGACACACGTCAAGCCACGCTTCTCCTTCACGTGACCGATTACTTCAAAACAAAACGCGGGAGCTTGCAAAATGCAGCATCGGCGACGAAAACAAAATTACGAAGTAGACTGGACACAAACCACACACTTGAGGTGTCATTATCTCCTATTACCCCGAGATGGGACCGTCTGGTTGCAGAAAATCAAGCTCGGTGCTGTGGTGAGTCGTCATTTTCATGCACTTTGAATTTGCGTTGCATCGTATTTTGAAGGCATTAAACATTGCCATAGCGATCGGAGTGTTGCGGCCAGATTAGACGCTCCTTGTGTTTATTATTATATTTCAAAAACGCCACAGTTTTCATGCAGCTCATACCATATTATTTTGTTGTATTATTTCCGCCACACCTTAAATGCCGGTCCCTGAAAATATTGTCTGACATAAACCGGTCCGTGGGGCAAAAAAGGTTGGGGGGCCCCTGCTCTAGCAAATTGCAAGGGGAAAAACGTAATTAAAAACAAACCAAAAAAAAAAACACAGGACTTGTTCAAAGAGCCCTACTCTACAGTAAATCCTATTGAACATCTGCAAAAAGACCTGAAACATGTAGACTCGAGAAGTCACATGTGTGTGCCACAGTACCTGACGCATCGGTTTAAATAATCACGCCTTAGTGATGGTAGGAAGTTTCCTTTTAATTCCTTTAGGTGCCGTATAAACCTCTTACACCGTAAGAGTTAGAAAATAAGACAAACATGACGCCATGAGTAGCGCTTATCTACATACATGTAAAGATTAATTAAACATATATTCTTATCACAAACATAAATCAAGAGACAAATAAACCAAAATATTCACCTTGTTGCCACTTCCAACCAGGCAAAGTACTGTGGGACCTCTACTTACGAACGTTTCTTCATACAACATTTTCAAGTTACGAAACGCCTCAACAAGAAAATATTGCCTCTTGTTCTGAAAGAAATTTCAAGATACGAAAGGGGCCTGCTACTCGCAGCTCCGAGTTTCCTGAACACAACATACTTATAGCTGCTTTGCCATTGGCTATTACCGAGCATCTTCCTGGCATCACATTGGCTAAGAGGGACCTCTACCGAATGTATCTATGTGTGTAGATAGATAGATATGCGTCTATATGCAGCGTCCTCGTCATTTTCCCCTCAGACCATGAGGCGTTCTGATAGTTTTCCGTAAATGTGAATCACCCAGAAAAAGTGTTCACCAGTCGGGCGATCACTCACTATGATGATGTTTGGCTTGGACATTTTCGAAGGATTGTCGAAAGACAACAAAAGCAGACGTCCTTGGATCAGTTCTTGACAAAATGTCAGGCAAAAACCACTTCTGAGAGGGAACATGAACTAAAGAGGGCAAAAACCGATGAGGACGCAGTTAAAAGTTAAATGACCATCATTTTTATTCTTTATTCTTTGTTTTTTACATTATGCACAACTCTCATTTATTGTGCAATAATCTACTTGTAACATGTATTTGTTGCATATTTTGATGCATTTTTATGCTTGAGAAAACATTTCTGTCTGAGTTTTTGTGTGGGCCTGTAACGGATTAGGGCATTTACATGGAAAACGGGTCTCAACTTACAAAATTTTCTTGTTCAGAAAATTTCCTTCCAGAGCCAATTAATTTTGTAAATAGAGGTACCACTGTATCTTTAAACTGTTAATTTATTTTCACCTGCGATCCGTGTGACCTCCTTTGAATCGTCTCGATATATACACTATCTAATCAGCTGTTATCCCTTTCCGTATTCCTTCAAAATAAGACTTGATCGTAACAGGAAGTCAGCATGAAAGGTCCGATATTGCAGACACTTTGGCAAATAAACCCATAGTTCTTTCCAGTACCTGTTGACACTTTTTAAACTTTTGAACTGTTTGAACACAAAAATCAAGCAATGCCTGATTTTCAGTTGTCAATTTCCAGTCCATTTTTTACATGTATTATTGCTTATTTTGGTTTCAAGTTATTTCAAGGAACATTTCTTTCTACAATTTTGTGTGTAATTTTGTACAATGGGTGTAGCGGACGCGTACACCATGTGCCATCCTCATTGGTTTTTATATAATCATATTGCATTATGCCTGTGGTTTGAGCTTTACTAACATTTTATATTTTTTGTTTCATCCTCAGGAGAATGTGGTAGATATGAAGGATCCTGTGGAATATGACTGAAGAGAAGTGTTTCCCTTTTTTTTTATTTATTTTTTTATTTTACAGAAGAGGACTGTGCCATGGAGTGTCTCGAAGAAGTCTCATTGCATCGTTTTATTTGATCTAAGTTATTGCTTTTTGCTGTCAACATTTACTCCACAACTTGGATTTATTGTTGAATGAGATTGAAAATGTTTGAGCAATTATGGTATTACATAAGTCGCTGATGGTGTGTTGGTACACTCACCTGACTTGTATGCGGGTAGCGTAGGATCGGTTCCTGGTCAATGACGGAGTGTATGGTTGTTCGTCCCGACATGTGCCCTGTGGCTGACTGCCGACCAGTTCAGGGGTTATTCCACCTTTCCCCCAAAGTCAGCTGGGATAGGCTCCAGCAATTCCCGTGACACTCTTCAGGATAAGCGGTGTTGAAAATGGATGGATGGATGGTATTACATATGTTCCTGCTGACAATCTACAGTGAATGACTGTTTAAATTCAAAGGCCGTTCTGGAAACTGGAAAGGAAAAGTGCCAATAAGTTACAGGATCGAATGAAACTACATTTTTTGGGCAGGCATCAAGTGTTGAGTGAGTTTTCGTTTGATGATGCACACAAACTATTTGCAACTGTGTTATTTAACTGTAACACCTTCATTTAGAGCAAAATGCTGAATACTACCTCCATCGAGTGTGTGGCTGTTTAAAGATGCTAGCTAAGCAAAAGTTTACGGTTCACTCAGTGCCCATCTGTACAAACACTCAGGCAATTTTGGTTTGTTTGTTTGTTTGTTTGTTTTTTTTAATGTAGCTTCAATGGATGTTTTCAGAACATCAAACCCTTGAATCATGCATCGCTGTGCACCAAAGTTTTTCTATTGTTTAGGATTAGTTTTGAAAATGTTCAATACGTGAAATAAGTTATTCAATGTCAATGTTTGCCTCCTCTGGGATCAGAGGATTTTATTGTTGCGTTGTTACTTTGAATGTTTGTAGGTAGAATTTTCCACATGCAACAAATTCTGTTGTCCTCTACAAATGGAAAGTTTTCTTAAATGAATACTGTATGTGGTTTTTACTGTGTTTATAATTGCAATATTGCAAAAGGGAGGGGGGAAAGTTCAAGCAATATAAAACATACATACATTTATTTATAGTCTGAAGAACAAACTACATCTAAGAATGTAAAAGGGAAAATAATGGATTGAGCGACAAGCATCAGCACTGGTTGAGTGTACAGTCAGTGCAAGTCGATCAATAAAGAAGTGACTTAATGAGGGCTAAAATATTTGTTGGGTCGAGGAGCTTTATTATGAACTTGCTATTTTTGCACTGTAGAACCTAAGAGCGGACAGAGGGTAGGGAATAGAATTCCACTTGATTGCATGTAAACAAGAACTATGTCTGTAAAAAAAAAAAAAAAACATGCTGAAAATTAAACTGTCAACTGGAAGGATTCATGTAAAATGCGTTTTGTTGCATTTCAGCTCAGATCTGCAATATTCTCCTTGAGTTACTATAGTGCAGCGAAATATGAGTCATACACAAAACAAAAGAGGGAGACTGTTATGGAGAACGAAAGTAAAGGCGGTAGTGGGTACAAAAGCCAATGGGAGGCAGTTGACAGGAGGTTAAAGGCAACGTTTAATAAAAGAGTCTGATGATCCAACATTTATATATACAGTGATCCCTTGCGACTTCACGATTCACTTATTGCGGATTCAGTGCATCACGGATTTTTCAAGAATATTCATTAAAAAAACAAATAGCGAAAATGCCGCAAAATGTCCGCGAGAGGCAGTGAAAGTCAGCAAAACAAAAGCGAGTCAGATAGAGCAACATATACAGTACTACATGTATATTTCATGTTTATGTTTACGTATTTTGTCATTTATAGACTAACCTAACTTATACATCTTATACATCTTTTATATT